ATTACACCATTTTGTGAGTAGTCACATTTGTACTCTTTCTGATTTTAGCAAATGATCCCAAAAGCAAATGTCTACAAAGGTCAGTAGGTAGTGGAAAGGTGACGCAAATGTATGCAAGAGAGAGACAGGAGAGGTAGGAATGTGGCTAACTGGAGAATATAGAATTTGTCTAACAGAGTAGCTGCTACTTAGCTTTAGCAGCCCATTGTGGCTACAAAGGCACTCATGTTAGCATTACCAAATCTTTTTTTTTTTTTTAAGAGAAGAGGAAATGCTTGATTTGTATGAGCTCCTCATTTTAAAATACTGACTCCTGGCTGGGTGCAGTGGCTCATGCCTGTAATCCCAGCACTTTGGGAGGCTGAGACAGGAGGATCACCTGAGGTCAGGAGTTCAAGATCAGCCTGGCCAAAGTGGTGAAACCCTGTCTCTACTAAAAATACAAAAATTAGCCAGATGTGGTAGTGCACATCGTAATGTCAGCTACTCGGGAGGCTGAGGTGGGAGAATCACTTGAACCGGGGAGGTGGAGGTTGCAGTGAGCCGAGATCGTGCCACCGCACTCCAGCCTGGGCGACAGGCTCCATCTCAATAAATAAATAAATAAATAACAAAACTAACTACTAAAGAAACATTACCCAGGTAGAACAAAACACATCTGAAAGCCAAATGTAGCCAGTATACAATATGTTTTAGATTCTAATGACGAATGATTCCTTTCCCAGAGATTCTGGACTAGAACTTCTGGTGCCAAATGATTTTTGTCCGTTATCCTCACCATTGGATTCATTCCACAAACATAGACTCTGTCTGCCATCTTCAGCTCCAGTCATGTGTTTTAAGGTTAGTTCAGGTACAAGAAAGATCACTAACAAATCACTAACCAACCAACCAGCCCCAGCACCACTGTTTCTCTCTCATTCTCTTTCTATCTCTCTCTCTCTCTCCTCCCCACTGACTACAAACACACTGTCTCCACTCATTCATTATCTCAAATCTAAAGGTTTCAAGTCTGATTTTCATACATTTTATTTAACATCCTTTTAATCAACTTTTTAGTTCTTCTGTGAATCATCTTAAAATTTTTCATATTCCTCATTAGTTGAAGAAACCAAAATTGGGTATGATCCGACAGTGTAGTTTTTAGAAGTATTGGGCTGATTTAGGTCTCACTCTCAATGTTTCCATAAAGGCTCTCTAGTAATTGTCAGAAATTTATCATCCTGTTCTAAATGGCTAGAAGAGCACCTCTAGGATGATAGGGAAAACATCCTTTTCAGTTAGGAGTCATAATGCATGTTCTAAGGACATCAGAAAAATGCCAGCTCTTTTATCATTCCTCATGTAGAAATTGACTAAAAACTAGAAATTCTAGGTAATTGCAACTTTTAAAAATTCTGGACAGAGACCATTTAAAAGGTTGATTTTTAAAACAAAGTAGTAACATCACTAACACTTAACTTTACAATTCCTAAGACATGAAGATGTAGAAAAGTGTTTATCACACTGATTTTAAATCCACTCTTAATATCCAGTGGACAAAAGCTGGAAGAAGTTAGAGTAGCCTTAAAACCTCTGAAGAAAACAACATATTATGGGATGAAAATGTGGTCTTCTGGGGTTAAGGGCTGATATCTTGGATCATTCTTCCTTCTGCTTTCTGTTCCTCCCGTATTTCTGATATGCAAGTTTCTTATCCTAACTTCAATTCCAACTTTCTTTCCACTGCAGCAAATTTAAAAAAAACTTTATGCCAAAAATGCACGTTTATCTGTAAGGGAGGTACTGTCTATTAAAAGTTGTCCTCTAGTATGAAAGTGTATAGGGTCTGATCATAACCAAAAGAGAGGGGTGGCAAGGGGGTCATCAATATAAGCTAATTTTCAATGGGAGTGCCCATTTGGTTTAACTATTTAATCTGAGGGCTTCCTCAGATTAAATGGAATTTGAAAATCTCTCCCATGGAAAGCCTAAAGAAAATTAATACTGTACTTCCCCTGGTATACCCTATTCATCTCAAATGTGAATAACTGTTTATTTGCATTTTGTAACATTTCTAAACATAGTCATTATGAACAATTCTTATTTTCTCACTCAACAGGTACCAATCAAGTTAAGTGGAAGCAATACTGCTATTGAGATTATGGCATGGCCAAACATCTTATTTTCACATAATCTATCCCATTTCCCTTCTCTAAGTCATTTGGATACTTTATTCACTTGCTAAAATGTCTTTAAACCTAGTATGAAAGATTAATCAGGGAGCATTCCTACCTTTACAAAATACTTGCTGTAATATAAAGAGCAAAGTGGACATTGCTCCGTGTTCTTTTTTTTTTTTTTTTTTTTAAACAGAGTCTTGCTCTGTCATCCAGGCTGCAGTACAGCGGATCTCGGCTCACTGCAACCTCCACCTCCAATGTTTAAGCGATTCTTGTGCCTCAGCCTCCCCAATAGCTGAGATTACAGGCATGCACCACCCTGCCTGGCTAATTTTTGTATTTTTAGAAGAGGCAGGGTTTCGCCATGTTGACCAGGCTGGTCTTGAACTCCTGACCTCAAGTGATCCGCCCACCTTGGCCTCCCAAAGTGCTGGGATTACAGGCATGAGCCACCACGCCTGGCCTGCTTCATGTTCTTAATCAGCTAAGACCTGCAAACAACAAGCAACCTACTCAAAATTCGTAAGAAGAATTTTTACTTACAATTCCTCTCCTTGTTTGGCTTTCTTGTCTGAAACCAGATAGACAGTTCCAAAACTTCCACTGCCAAGTTTCTGTTGAAGCACATATCTTCTTGCAATCAAGGTGTTTGGACAAGTGGAAATGGCTGTTGATCCACTCACACACTTAGCTGCCTCTTGGAATTTCAGCATTGCTCCAAACAAGAGAGAACTGGTTCGTTCATTTACAGAAACAACATTCAACTCTCCTCAGAAATGGTCAGATTCATCCAAACAGTGTTGGTCAATGCCTTAAAGATGAAAAGTTCAAAGATCAGGTCTAAAGGATGCTAGATGATTCCTAAGACAAAGTGTAACTTTCGACAGTGATATCTGCACCTTGACCAGCAGACTGACTGAATGACACCATATTGGTTAACAACTTGAAAGAAAAATGTTAAAAGGTAGAGATACCACAAATTCTAGTAGAAGGCAGTCTTTCACAGGAAGAGCCTCCCTTTATACATTGAAATTTGGCAGAACTGAATTATAGCCACCTTTCTACAAATTTCTGGGATGTATATCTGTTTTACAATCAATACTCTCTTCATTTATTTAAGATTTATACTCCCCACCTACTTATAAAAGAATCAAAATAAAAGAACATTATCACTTCCTTAAATCTATATATCTGCAGCAACATTTTTGCAATGCCCTCTTCCCACCTTATGGTTACTTTGGTTTACAAAGAGTTAGTATTAAACCAGGAATTATCAGATGCTGTTTCCTTTAGATTTCCTTTTTTTCTGTAGATGTTAAACCACAGTTTTTGCATTTATTAGAAGAGTTACAAAGAGGGAGAATGATTCAGAGGGAATTTTTTCCCATGCTTAGCAAATTCTAACCTAGTTTCTGACTTTGCTATTGTACACATTGTGTACAATCTCTCTGGATTAAAAACAGGAAGAGTTACAAATTCAGTTCAAACCTAAAATTGCATTTAATGTCAGTGGAAAATAAATGTTACAGATAATCTGTAATTCCTCAGGAAGCTATGAGATGTGGCAGTTGTGAGAGGCAGGACTGTTTCATATGCGTAGGTACAAAGTAAAGTCACTTTTATTTCATCAGAATGTTAAATGTTTTGTTATCATGAAAAGTGTGCTTTTTAAAAAATCTAGATAGAAATACAACTTTAAATTGAAAATTGTCTACACGTTGGAGTTAGGTTTTCGTATTTAACAATTCCAAAGCTAGGAGACAAAAACCTATTGTTTTTAAGGATGGCCAATGGGCTTTACATGGTGGTGTCAGTTAACCACAAAAACTATGAGAGCAATTAACCACAAAAACCCTCAAAATATCGGTGGCTCACGCCTGTAATCCCAGCACTTTGGGAGGCCGAGGCTGGTGGATCACGAGGTCAAGAGATCGAGACCATCCTGGTCAACATGGTGAAACCCCGTCTCTACTAAAAATACAAAAAATCAGCTGGGCATGGTGGTGCGTGCCTGTAATCCCAGCTACTCAGGAGGCTGAGGCAGGAGAATTGCCTGAACCCAGGAGGCGGAGGTTGCGGTGAGCCAAGATCGCGCCACTGCACTCCAGCCTGGGTAGCAAGAGTGAAACTCCGTCTCAAAAAAAAAAAAAAAAAAAATTGGTAAATGCTCATTTACAACATTTTCCTTCTCTAAAATGTAATCGGTTAAGTTGTAACTGATACCAGTGAGATTAGTTCCCAGCTTTTTTTTTCCACCTTCCAAAGACATGTTAGTAAAATCTGTTGAAAAAACAACCAGAGAACAGGCCTCTCAATGTACCTTTTGTTTGTTTCCCCTTCACTGTTCTAAAAGCGATGCCATCAGGCCATACTAAGCTGTTCAAATAAGTCTTTCCAACTCAAAAGGGTCCTTTGGGTCACTCAGTAATTCTCATTTTAAAGATGAGATTAAGGTTTCCTTTAGGAAGGACAGAATTAGGGACGGACAGAATAGTTATGAGAGGTTCACTTCTGGCGGCTCCTATTTGTAAAGGACAGTCTAAATCCAGCAGTGCTTAAGCAGTCTGGCCCAGGCTGCAGAATACTCTGCAACTAGGTTCCCTCGGCCCAACCTCACAGACTCAGCCCTGCCCCCCATCCCAGTCCACTTTTAGGTCATCCATCCACTAGTCTCCTCTGTGCAACCACAGACCTACCCAAGAATGTGTCGCACTGCCTAGATTCTAGAACTATCTGTTCACTTGACAACACCATCCCCCTCGAGGTTTGTGAATGAACTTGGGCACTGAGAACACATCTTCTTTATCTCTGCATCCCCAATGCCTGGCATAATGCCTGGCATAATTTGCCTTGTTAGGGCAAATAAGTGTTCATCAGATCAACTGACGTCCAAAGGAGGGAAAAAATGTTGGTTAAGAAAGCTAGATGGGAACTTGGAGAAAGTTACCACCTTACGCAAACTACCCCTTCTCGGTGAAACAGATCTGGTTGGGGGCAAAAGACAACCAAAGGAGGAGTAGTTATCACAAGATGAAAACCAGTAGTTACCTTCCCAGGTAATAAGACGAAGACAATTTGTCACCAGGTTCTGCTCAAGGAGAAATCTAACTTTAAAGATAAACCTTAATCTTAAGGTAAAACAAACAATTCCTTGCTTCTTCACCTTTTTAAACATTTGCATTTTCCCAAAGCGCATTGACGTTTATTGAGGGGCACTGAGACTGGAATAGATCCGGAGATAAGGTGTCCAGGACAGGGAGGAGATCGCAGCCATGGAGTTCTAGGGATTCAGAACCCAGCCTGGGAAGGCTGAAACCATTACCTTCCCCCTTGCAGGGGAGCCTGGCGAGCCCCGGAGAGTACAGTTCTCTTTACCTTTCCCTGTTGTGGTCAGAGGAGCGGCGGCGCCCGGGGCCAGCCCAAGCCTTGCCGGTAATCCGGCAGGCCTCAAACTAGGGGCAACCGCACCCACCGAGCGCCAGACACCGCGAGCTACAGCTGTTTGGCACCGTCGCCAGGGAGACGGCGCGGGGCATACTGGGAAGTCGGGGTGAGGCGGCACCAATGCGGAAGTGGAGAAAGTGAGACGGAGAAAGGAGAGAAGGACCGGCGGGCCAAGCTTTTGTAGTCTGACAGCAGCCATTTCGGAACGTATGTCCCAGCCCTCTTTAGCTACTTAGCGCCTCGGGCCCAACAGCACCTGCTCCCTGGCGCAGTCTGGAGCCACCGGCTTCACGGAACTGTACTTCCCAAGACGTCACACTAAGAGACTTCCTGTTCCCGCTCTTGCGCTTGGACTCTCACATGCAACGACGAGTCCTCGCTGGGCTCCAGCGGGCTTCGGATGGAGGAGCTACTCCTCCGGGAGGACAGAGCAGGTGGGCTCTGCTGCAGGTCCGGGCGGCGGGTTGTGAGGGCCGAGGTGGCACGGCGTATGAAGGCCTGTGTTTGAAGACTTAGGTCAAACCTTTTGCCCGCCTTTCCCCTATGCAGCTAGCATTTGTTGAACTGTGTGCAAGGCCCTGTAATTTGCATAGAACACGTTGACAGGGCCTCTGCTGATGAACGCTTTACAAGACTGTCTTGCAAAAAAAAAAAAAAATAAGTACTATACAGGATAAGGTTCTGAGATATTGACAGGGCTGGGACTAGGGTGAGGTAATTGTAAAATGTAAATGGATGCCAATAAAATTCAATAATCAAGATACGTTTTAATGCGCTATCTCTAAAAATCAGAATTATTGCAAAAAGTCCATGACTGACAAAATGTCATGATTTTGAGTAATAGTAACAGTACCGTGCTGCACCATATTAAGCCCGAGGCACCGAAAGAGAAACCATCAATACTGATCCTGTGAGTTAAGTTAGCCAGAGAAGGAAGAGTAACTGGGCCAGATATGCAAAATAAGATGATGAAAAGAGCCTTGGTTAGGGGTGTAACTGGATAGAGGGGTTCCTAGAGGCACGAAGCAGTTTTCCTTATACCAAAAAACTGCCAGTTAAGAAGGGCCCACAAGCCCAAAGCCTGAAAGAAGGTCCGTGACTGTCAATAAAAAATAAAAACTTGATCCCTGCTAGGTCCTGCACATCTTACGTTACTGACGTCCAAATGTGTTGTAATTTTGAAATGAATAATCCTATCATTTTTATAGCTTAGGACTTTTTACTTTGACCCCACAAAACTGCGTTTTAAGATGTTGACTGTTGTCTATTTCAGAATCACAGTCCACAGAACTTCTATATTGCTGTGTCAGTAATGGACTTTAACTGATTTTTCTTTAGAATTAGCAGCAGCCTCTGTCACCATCCAAAGATCACAACCCATGAAACCACTGAGTTTGTGCCTTGTAACAGAAAGCAAAGGAGAATGAAAAGGCACACAGCTAACATTGCTTGAGGATCTAGGTAAGAATTCATGGATATTGATATCTATCTTCTATATCTAAAGAGCACTTCATAACATTTGCTGTTGATTTAATGGTGCTGGAAGCAATGACTTGGTGCCCCTTAACCAGCATCAACTGAAAATGCTTTCTGTTGTTTTAAACAGGCGATTAATTCTTTAGACTGTCATCATGGGTATCCGAGGACTAATGAGTTTTGTGGAAGATCATAGCAATGAGTTCTTCATTGGTTTGAAGTTGCGGGACACAAAAATTGTCATTGATGGCTATGCTCTTTTCCACCGTCTTTGCTTCACTTCGAACTTGGAGCTCCGGTGTGGAGGGGACTATGATTCCTTTGCAGATGTAGTACAAAAATTCTTTGAATCACTATTTGCTTGTAATATATGCCCATATGTTATATTAGATGGAGGATGTGACATTTCAGATAAAAAGCTTGCAACTATAAAGGACAGAGCTAGAGAGAAGATCCAGATGGCCCATTCCCTTTCTGTTGGTGGGAGTGGGTATGTGTGTCCTTTACTCATCAGGGAAGTATTCATACAGGTTTTGATCAAGCTGCAGGTACCTTTTGTCCAGTGCTTTTCAGAAGCAGATCGGGACATCATGACACTTGCTAACCATTGGAATTGCCCTGTGTTATCGTCAGATAGTGACTTCTGCATTTTTGACTTGAAAGCTGGGTTTTGCCCATTGAATAGCTTTCAGTGGAGACATATGAACACTATTAAGGGCACACGAAACTATATCCCTGCCAAATGCTTTTCCCTTGAGGCATTCTGCCATCACTTCAGCAATATGAATAAAGCTCTTTTACCTCTCTTTGCGGTGCTATGTGGAAATGACCATATTAATCTACCTATCATGGAGACATTCTTAAGTAAAGCACATCTTCCTCTTGGAGCTACCAGTTCTAAAGGGAGGAGACACCACCGAGTCCTGGGACTTCTGAATTGGTTGTCTCATTTTGCCAACCCTACCGAAGCACTAGATAATGTTCTGAAATACCTCCCAAAAAAGGATCGAGAAAATGTTAAGGAACTTCTCTGCTGTTGCATGGAAGAATACCAGCAGTCCCAGGTGAAGCTGCAGGACTTCTTCCAGTGTGGTACTTACGTCTGTCCCGATGCCTTGAATCTTGGTTTACCAGAATGGGTACTAGTGGCTTTAGCTAAAGGCCAGCTATCGCCTTTCATCAGTGATGCTTTGGTCTTAAAACGGACCATTCTTCACACACAGGTGGAAAACATGCAGCAACCAAATGCCCACAGATTATCTCAGCCCATCAGGCAAATCATCTATGGGCTTCTTTTAAATGCTTCACCACATCTGGAAAAGACATCCGGGAACGCGTTGCCTTCTCGGCCTCTAGCTTTCAGTGAAGTGGAAAGGATGAATAAAAATATCAAAACCTCAATCGTTGATGCAGTAGAACTGCCCAAAGATCATTCTGACTTAAGCAAATTGACTGAGGTAAGTATTTGTAATACTAATGAAATTTTTGTAAAGCACTTTACAGATTACAAAGTGCTGTCTTGTATATTCTCTCTCTTACTATAACAAACTGATGAGGTTCAGTGCTATCTTGCTGTCATTTCATAGCTAAGAAATCAAGAACTTGAGTGAACTGGGTAGTCTCTTAGCCAGAGAGTGTCAGTGCTAGGACTCAAACCCAGCTCTTTCAGCTCTAAAGCTACTATTTCCACTGTACTACAGTAGTCTGTGTTATCTTCACAGTTATTACTACTATATTGTTATTACTACTGTATTATTACTAGCTATCAGTAGAATGGAGTTACATGGCTGGAAAAAAAAGGAAATTCTGAACTGCAAAAAAAAAAAGTGTACATAGACACTAGTCATAGGCATAACATCTTAGACTATATCAGATGTCAAATAAGGTTAGTACTGATAACCAAGGTCTAATTTTTTAACTTTTATTAATGAAGACCTTTTTAAAAATAGGTTTTTGTGTCATTATGGTTATATGCTTAATCTGATACTGAAAACATGACTGTTAGCCTAACTCAGTGTTGCTTAAACCTAAGTAACACTCAGACCAGTCACCTTTTCAAGGAGAAAAAAATTCTCATGGATCCCAGTGTTGTCTTTTTATATTACATAAATATATTTAAAATTTCAAATAGATATAAAACTATGCTGATAAAAGAACTAGATTTACAAATTAAATACAGATAAAAAAAAAATTGCAGTGCCATTAGGGGGTTTCCTTAGATCCATTGAAATATTCAGTCTCATGACTCACAGACCACACATGGCACCAGTCTACTCAAGGATGTCGGCCAGCAACCTCACCTTCCCAGCGGCTTTAGGTCAGGCCTTCCTTTTCTGTCAGAGTTCTCCCAGCACTGTTATCAGTCTACACAAAGGCTTACCACCGTTGGTGATTCTGTCCCCCAGAGGACATTTGGCAATGCCTGAAGACATTTTTGTTGTCACTACCTAGAGAGTAGAAGGGGTAGTGATTGCTCTTGGTGTCTAGTGGGGAGAGGCCAAAGATGCTGCTAAATTTTACAATCTGTAGGTCTTACAGTACACAGGAAAGTGTCCTATAACAAAGAATCTCTAGCCGAAAATGTCAGTAGTGCGAATCCCTGGCCTATACAGTTGACCAGGAACTAGCCTCTTAGCCTCCCCATGAGTCACATCTCAGGCAGGAGATGAACTTCATAGTGAATGAGTGCAAGAGCCTTCTTGGCATTGAGGAGTGACTGTTAAACCCCCAGAGTTTCTTTGCAGGGACGGTGAAGAAAATGTTTTGGAATTAGTGATGGCTGCACACGCTTATAAATATACTAAACCAAGGCATGGTGGCTCATGCCTGTAAGCCCAGCACTTTGGGAGGCCAAGGTGGGAGGATCACTTGAGGCTAGTAGTTCAAGACCATCCTGGGCAACACAAGACTCTGTCTCTACAAAAAAAAAAAAAAAAAAAAAAAAATTAGCCAGGCATGGTGGTGCAGGCCCATAGTCCCAGTTACTCAAGAGGCTGAGGTGGGAGGATTGCTTGAGCCCAGGAGGTCAAGCCTGGATATGAGCTATGATTGTGCTGTCTGTTGAACAAGACCCTGTCTCTAAAAAATATATATACACTAAACCCACTAAGTTGTATACTTTAAAAGGATGACTTTTATGACATATGAATTATATTATCAGTTAAAGGAGAAAAAAAAGGTTTCACTGGCTTAAAAACCTCCTTCTCTGTAGGATCCATTCTTTCTTATAGTAATTCCATAAACATAGCTAGGTCCCTGCAAAGGACATCCTTCTTACAGCACACTACACTCGGGAGCCCCAAGACATGGTGTCCCCAAGATACGGTGTCCCCATCAGGTGTTTATAGTTCATTTATATATAGTTTAAGCTTAAATGGAATTTTATAAGTCATTTTTATAATTCTTGATAACATAACTGACAATCTACCTTTAGCACATTTCCAGAGGTACAAAACTAGAAAGTGGAGCATAGGTCTAATTCTCAAACAAGAGATTTACTAATATTTTACCCACACCAAAGAAAATTCAAACTAGCTACATTCTTAATGTTTTGCTGAAGTTACATTTCTAAAACTCAAACATAAATGGCGCTGT